AAATTCGACACTCGATTCGATACAATTCATCAACGACAAAGCACCTGAGAATGAAGGGTGGTTCGAAGAATTTATCAACCTGATAGCTGCCCGTTACCTCTGCTGTGGAGCCCTGCATTCTTAAAATCATTCATGAGCTCGCACAGTATTTGTCAGAAGAGATGCGGGAGTTCGTTTTTGATTTTTTCATGTCATGTATCAGTCTAGATGACAAACTACGGCTCCTAGCCATCGATTCAACTTATCTTCGAAATGCATGTTTTTCATGACCGGATGTGAATTGGGCAGAATGTGTATGAAAACTTTGCTTTGAAGGTCACAATCGGCTGCGTCATTTGAAAGCCTATGAGTCTATTTCTGGAGGTGTTGAACTCACTGAGTGTATCAAATAAGTATCTTGAGGTTGAGCGTGTAAGATACAAAACAGGTCCATTCGCGGCATACCGGCCCCAAATCGATCAACGACTCGATAATATTCCACCAGGAATCGAGTAGTTTTGTCGATCGACATCATTTTGTAGGTTTAACTTTCAAATAGTCACTTTATTATAGAAAGTACATTTGCTTGAACATCAGTGTAGGCAGCAGCCCACTTGAGATCTTGAAATCTTGTAACTTCCTACTTAGCCGTTCCTGCGCTTCGGGAAGCTGAGCACTTGGCAGGTTAATGTTGGTCCATGGTACATCGCATCACAATCAGTCGTACGTCCTTCATCTAGCAAGCTGATCCTGGTGATGCAAACTTGTCGAGTTCCCCGCTTGAGCTTCGATGTGGGCAAATTCGTGAATCAATTGTGAACTGAAGTTGAGATGAATAAATGATTTTAGTTGTTCAAGTGAGTTTTACTTACCCCGACTTTTCAAGTAATGTTCGCTGCTTCGACCGCTCTCGCCGCTTGTGAGCCCAGCTCTGCCTTCTTCGGTTTCATGGGGATCACCGCTGCCATCAGTTTCGCCAACCTCGGAGCTGCCTACGGTAAGTCATCGAACTCTCTCTTACTTTCTCGTTGTTATTACAATTCTTGTAAGGTACTGCCAAGTCCGGTGTTGGTATCTGCTCAATGGGTGTCATGAGACCCGACCTCGTCATGCGATCAATCATCCCTGTCGTTATGGCCGGTGTCTTGGGTATCTACGGTCTTATTACTTCCGTTATTATCAACGGTAAGATGGATACCCCCGCCACCTATTCTCAATATTCTGGCTACGCCCATCTTGGTGCCGGTCTCACTGTCGGTCTCTCTTCCCTTGCCGCCGGTCTCGCCATTGGTATCGTCGGTGACTCTGGTGTCCGCGCCAATGCCCAACAGCCCAAGCTTTTCGTGGGTATGATTTTGATTCTTATCTTCGCCGAAGCTTTGGGTCTGTACGGCCTTATTGTTGGTCTTGTTGTCGCCTCCACTGCCACTGAAAAGGGTGCTGGTCTTTGCTCTTCATTTGCTCCCCAGTAAACTGTCACCATTGACCCCAATGATGATCTTCGATGGTTGCCGTGTGAGAAGGCGATAGGATGATACTGCGTTTAAGTACGTGTTCCAAATCCATATTGGATTACCTCTGTATTTTTATCACACTATTGCTTAGTAGCGGAGTGGCTGTTGACGATGCTGTCGTTGGATAAGTAAAATGGCGATTCTTTCAGCAGTTGACGGAGACGTTCGTTGTAGCACTGATGCTGGTCTCGCTGCTGAGCTCCTTTCCTACTACAGTTACCATTATCATCATTCAAGCAACATTGTGGTGTAAGCCTTTTTCTTCCAAGTTTGCGCCGTGAAACATCTACTCGCTTAGTCTTTGACCATTGTTGGGTTTCAAATATGTCTTCAATTCAACGTGTGGGTTTGATGTGAGATCGATGTCGTGGAAGGATAAACGGTAGGTGGCTGAGGAGGGTATTCTTCCTTACTTGAGAGTTACATGTGAACTCATGGGTTCGTGTTCAGCGACTAGATTGGAGTCGGATTTATAGTAGGTGCGACTCATAAATGGTCACTGTGGCTTCTTTTTGGGCAGTTTTACACTTCTCTTGTGGAGTGGTCGACGCTATCGATAAGAGTGGAATGGCACGAACGAGCGTTGGTTTTGTGCGAAGACAGAACCAGGTGATATAACTCTCGACTCGTGTAGTTATATCGGTTGGACTCTTCTCTATTTGAACGATATCTAATTTGCTAGGTGTGATTGACGCGGAATAGAAGGTGAAGGGTGAGTTTGAGAGATGGCAAAACTCTTTGGGATAGGTAATTTTCCCCAGCAGCGAATTGCGTCCCGAAATTTTTTTGAATTGCCAACATACAACTCCACTTGGATGATCGATGACCACCTCTATGAACCACTACTACTGAAGGCCCTTCAGAGAAGGGGACAGCGTCACACAATGCCCCCTACCGGCGCTTAGTGGTCACGGGTCGTGCTCCTCTAAGCTCATTCCAACCCCTTCAGAATTAGTAATAGTCCCGCTGTTCATTTGGAACATACTCTCTGATCGTTGAAATGACGTTATTTGTGGCATTGGCAAAATGCTGGTCGTTGTTGAAGTGTCGGTTGGCTGACGAGCAAGATCGGCTTCGGTAGCTTAAGCTGCGCTCAAGGGACCGCCTACGAGTACCAAGTAGCGCTGTCGTCCATCTGCATTTGCAATTCAACACCACTTGTTCACTTGCTGTGTATTGTTACTTCACCACCTCTCCACACATCTCCTTCTTTCGATTAGTGAGTATCCTGTCCATCTCGCAATGTTCGCTGCTTCGACCGCTCTCGCCGCTTGTGAGCCCAGCTCTGCCTTCTTCGGTTTCATGGGGATCACCGCTGCCATCAGTTTCGCCAACCTCGGAGCTGCCTACGGTAAGTCATCGAACTCTCTCTTACTTTCTCGTTGTTATTACAATTCTTGTAAGGTACTGCCAAGTCCGGTGTTGGTATCTGCTCAATGGGTGTCATGAGACCCGACCTCGTCATGCGATCAATCATCCCTGTCGTTATGGCCGGTGTCTTGGGTATTTACGGTCTTATTACTTCCGTTATTATCAACGGTAAGATGGATACCCCCGCCACCTATTCTCAATATTCTGGCTACGCCCATCTTGGTGCCGGTCTCACTGTCGGTCTCTCTTCCCTTGCCGCCGGTCTCGCCATTGGTATCGTCGGTGACTCTGGTGTCCGCGCCAATGCCCAACAGCCCAAGCTTTTCGTGGGTATGATTTTGATTCTTATCTTTGCCGAAGCTTTGGGTCTGTACGGCCTTATTGTTGGTCTTGTTGTCGCCTCCACTGCCACTGAGAAGGGTGCTGGTCTTTGCTCTTCATTTGCTCCCCAGTGAGTAGCTATCAGACCTGCTAGTCATTGCTGTAGCGGTTTTGACTGGAATTCATCTTCGTGACATCATTAGCTCGGTAACAAGGTGCGGTTGTGATGGTGTCCGTACTTATCGTAGTAGATAAGCGTCACTGCTCTCTTCAGTTCACCGGAGCTCTTTTTGTCGTGTTACCATTAAGAAGAGCACATAGTTCTCTTCTTCCAACTTAGGGTTGAATATAACAAGTGCATTTGGTTCAGTGTAAATCAATGGGCTTAGTTCTTGATCATCATATAATTCCCTGTTGTAGACCGCTTCCGAAATATCTTGTCTTTCTCATTCGAAAATACATGATGACGTGGATTGAACAGCTCAAGTTGTTCCGACGACTATGGAGTTGAACCCTTAGGGTTCATCGAGAGCATGATGAAGAGGATACTTGAAGAGATATAGAGGTCCATCAGGATTTGTTGTTAAGACCCACTCTTCAGCGCTATGCTAATCTTTACAACATTCTCCTTGATTGCATTACACTTTAGCCAAGGAGGTATTCTCACAGTCAACTGGGAATCATCTACAGGACACAATCCTTCATTGTTTCGGTACGATTTCGGAATGTAGTGAGTTGGTCAACTCGAGCTGAGAGATATGAACGATTGGGATCTATGTTGAAGTCGGTCGTAGCAGAGGCACGGAGCAAGTGTATAAACGGTGGTTGCTGAGGATCCCAATCGAATCGAATCCACGAGTAGGTGCGTTTTCCGAGCTGTGACACACGAAGGTGGGGCAATGCTTAGGTTGGTACACCGAATATCGAGGAGGGCACTTCCAACGGCTGCTATTGTCGTGTGCACGGAGCATGAGGTCAATATCATTTTACCGACTATATCAGAATGTTTCGGATATAACACTCATTTTTCCGGCAAACCGTGGTTGACCCTCACGATTCTGAAAGCCGTGGTTCCAGAAGGTTTCACCTTTTTTATATCCGTTCCTTCGGTAGTGTTGTCACCATTGCTGAACTCCTCAGTGTACCAAGTACTGTGCAGTGTAACTCGATATCGCGGATCTTCGTTGGTCGATGACGATTATCCATGGGATTTCTATCTGGTATAAACAATCGCAGTTCTGGTTTGCGGCCTCTTCGTGTTGAGTAAAGTTCTGAGAGCCTCGACGTGGCTGATTCAACAACACTCACCATCTACAGTGCTTGCCAATTTGATACGTAAACGTGTAAAAACCACGAACCGTCAACCCTTTCAATTTTGGAGTAGAAATGAATAGCACACTACATCCTCGAAATGCCGAGTTGAAAAACATCTGTAGAGATGTCTTGCCAAGAAAGAATCTCAACGGGTCGATGTTACGGGCAGTTGGATATGCAGCAGAGCGAAACTTCTGAAAACGGTTGCACGGATGCCATAAGACGCAATAAAGTACCCTTAGAGCAGCTCTACTGCATCTCAGGTATGGTCGGCAGGGAGCGGGCGAAAATCGCTCCTCTGAAATCGCCCTCACACTCGACCAGTATGTGCGCCAGAGAGGGTCTTCATTCTGAACTTGCGTGCAAGCTACTCCTTGTGCTTGCGTACCTTAGTGGTAGCATGAGATATACATCTTATACTACCAACTCGACTATTGAACGTTACTAGCTCTTGAGTCTGTAGCCGCCTTAGGTGGTTCAAAGACACGTTTGGTTCAAATCGTTACAGCTAATGTCGGCTTGCGTTGACGCAAAGGACCGACAGGAGACACCGGACATCAACACTGCCTCGACCTATCGATTAGAATAGTTTCCAATATCCCCGTATAAAGGATCTCCATCTATAATGTCTCGTGGTCTTAGCGATGGGTAGTGGACGAGAGATTCCCTCTTGAGTTCGAAGGAGGGGCACTTCACACTCTCGGTCATGGTTGCCATCGACTATGACAGAGTCTCCACCATTAGTGGAGGCTCCACCGTGGAGCGCTTTAGCTATCAGAACCATCGCACGCGTGCAGTCTGTTATAACAGTGGATTCATCGAAGATTCCAAGTTAAGTAACTCTATCATATAGTCTCTATGTCCAGTCCCATTTTCAACCTGCTCCTCCTCGTCCTGAGGTTCTACGTGGTTGATGGGGGCACGCTGGCAGGCTTCTACAACGCGGAGACGCGTGCACCTATCATGAAGATCGTGTTCAATTATGGTAATTGTTTCATGGGGTGGTTGTACGTTCCACACCGACTGATAGATGGCAAGTACAACAACCTGGACCCGCAAGGCAGGTTCAACATAACTCTCTCCCGTTACGGCTTCCATGTGTTGCAAAAGACCTTCCCTGGCAATAACTTTTCTAATCCGATGCCAGCACGATACCATGAACCCTTCATTACGATTCTTGAAATTGGCCATTCCATGACCTATAAAAAACAAACAGATTAGCTATGAGATTCAACATAATTTTCAATTATTCGTTTGCTGATCGTTTTTCATGTACTACTTTTCTTACCATCATATGTGGAGTGCCACAGCGTTTTTTCTCTTATATGACTTCAATATATGCCTCTGTACTCTTTTATTTGATGAATCGGAGACTTTTGGGATGTTCATGAGCGTATCCCATGCTGTACAGTTTATACTCGGAACTTTTCAAATCGGGAAACAAGTGAACGCGTTTCACGGTTTTGAGGAAGTTTGGTTACGGGCAGTTCAAACTGGGGCAGAAACCGTCGTCGAAGCCGTACCAATCCAGACAGTGGA